GTTCAGGATGCTTTGTTTACTAAATCTCTCTCTCTCTGTCTCTATCTTTTGTCCTTGTATTTTTTCATCATCATCGCCATTGTATTCTTAGTCCTTCTCTTTCAACTGGCCGTGGTAATAACTAACAATAAAAATGCTAACTACAATACAAAACCTCATACGACCTACAAATTCTTAAGATAATATATATATATATATATATATATATATATATAAGTTTAGGTGTCACTGTATAAATTATCTACCTTAGCTGATTTCAGATTGAGTCTTCAAGATTATTACTGTCATTGTCCCATAATGATTGTTAACATTTATTATGATACAAAGGTAGTAATATTTTGTGTATAACTGCATCTGTTCTATAATACTACATATAGTGTATAAAATATGCAAATACAATAATTATTATGGGACAGAGGTAGTAATATTTTGTATATCTGTCCCACATTGTTATTACATTTAGTGTATAAAAGACATATGCAAATATAACAATTATTAACAGTATAACCAGTCTTTGACTGGGTCTTTCATTACTGGGGATTTTTGCTGTTCGTTTGGAGTAGTTTAAGTTTAAAGTCAGCCCACCCAAAAATCAACATTATTAACAACAATTGGGTGCAACTGAGGCACATCCCCAAAATGGGAGGTTAACAATTTGAATTGGGGGTGTCCCTGAAAAGGGCCGTTTTTTTCATTCTCAATCTTGCAAGGAAGGAACCTCTTCCATGGACCGTCATAATAATAATATACGATAATTTTTATTTATGATATAATTCTTTTTATAATTCTAATAATCTTTTTGCATTAGATTTCAACTCTCTAAATTGATTGTACACTGTTTTTTTACAGACATTAAATTTTGCCTTTGACTTTTGCGCAGTGTAAAAAATCATTTTTTTTTTTATTTTTCATCTTCAAGATTGTAATCTTTTCCAGCCAATTTCGACTCAAAACTGACACTGAAGAATTATCTATCAAACAAAGTTTCATCAAAATTGGATGAAAACTATAGAAACACATAAACAACATCCAGTCACGCACACACACACATACATACACACACACATTTTGAGAATTATAGATATAGATTTCACCAATACTATCCCATAATAATTATTACATTTTGTGTATGTAATATGTCTACAAATCTAACAACTATTGTGGGACAGATATATAATTTAATATTTCAGTCAAGAATCTGGGGTTAAGTTTTATACTACATTTTTGAGGGAAATCTTTGATATTTTTTTTTCTAAATCACATTATTTTTTTTTTATCAGTAAGTAAAATTTTGTAATTAGAAAAAGCTAATTATTATTACCAGCACTTTTCTTTTTCTATTTTTAACCATTATGTCATTTAAATTTATGAGGTCAACCTATAAATGATCCATCTATTTGAAATGAACAAACAACCCACCTGGGGCAATGGCATCTTATCCCTCTTCAGGGTCCTCCGTTTGGGGTAGCTCACACACTTATCTTCCATTTTAGTAAACAGCCAAATCTCCTTTGCCATCAGCTGCCATTCTCTTTAATCTGTTTCAATAGTGATTATCATTTTCTTATGTGCTGTATCCCTTCAGATGTGGGTGGTCATGGCTCTCCACAACTTCCTGTCCTCTGGAAGTAACATTTGACTGTTTATTATCTTTCTTTATTTCTGCTCTGTCATCCATTTACACAAATTGCTATATGTTACTTCAGGATGCGAGTGATCATAGCTCTCCACAACTTCCTCTCTCTTGTAAGTCTCATTTGAAAATTTAAGACCACTTTTTGTTCACACAGCCATTCACACAAACTAGTTAGGTAGGTTACTTCAGAATGAGGATGATTATAACTCTCCACAACTTCCTCTTCCTTGTATCTAGTTTCATGTTACTCTTTAAAATCCCTCTTTGTCTCTTCTGTGCCGCAATCAATTCACACATACATGTTAAATTGGTAACTTCAGGATAAGGATGATCATGGCTCTCCACAACTTCCTCTCCCCTGTATTTTCAAGTGACATTTGACTCGTTAATATCTCTTGTTGTCTCTGTCCAGCCATTTGCATAAACTATTTAGGAAGTGGGTGAACATGGCACTCCATACCTTCCTCTCCTTTGTATCTCATTTGAACTTTTATATTCCTCTTTGTCTTCTTTATGCTGCCATCCATTTATATAAACATGTTAAATTGGATACTTCAGGATATGGGTGATCATGGTTCTCCACATTTTCCTTCCCTTTGTATATCTAAAGTGACCTTTGACTCTTTAATATACCACTTTTCCTTACTGTTCCAGCAGTTCATATAAACTAGTTGTTAGGTAGGTTGTTTCAGGATGTGGGTGATCATGGCTCTCCACATTTTCCTCTCCTTTGTATATCTAAAGTGAGCTTACTTGCTATTTCCCTTTGCATCTACTGTGTTCAATATGTCCTGTGAGTGTTAAGTTCCTCAAACTTTTGTGTTTGAGAAATTTCACCTGTTTCTTTTTGATTTCAAGTAAACATGTCTTTTTACTTAGCATTTTCCTTAAAAATTTCTCATTATTCACATGTTCAGTCCATGGTATTCTCATCATATGTCTCCAGAAACATATCTCTGTCAGTTTAAGTCTCTTCTTCATTTGTAAAGAAATTGTCCAGCATTCGCTGCCATATAGAACATCAGCTATTACATAAGAATTCAGAACTCTCTTCTTTTTTTTTCTAATGATATTTTCCTGCATTTTAATACTTTTACTTTCTGCAAGACATTTTTCATTATTGCTAGATGCCTTGATTTCATCTGTCTTGCTGATTGTAACTATCAATTTCCTTTGAATGAGAATTTTCCTCAAAACTCCCTCATTATTTACATGTTATTTTTTTTAATCAAATTCACCCCATGCAAAGCACTAAAGCCACTAAGACAAGGGTTTACTGTGAAAGAATTAGAAACTGAAAACATTATTAAGGAATAAGAACAATAGAAGAGTAATCAGGAAGACAGTAGATAATGATTGACAGTGCACTTAAATTTTTGAAGCTCAAAGTTGGCTGGGATGTATGGAAACACAAGAGAGAAGTGTGAGAAAAGGAACTGTTAGCATAGCACTTATGGTTACATCTTGTCAATTCATCTGTGAGTTGAGACCTTGCTGCTAATCTATTTTTAAAAAAAAATTTTGTTGCTGTGGATAATACGCACCCCTAATTTTGCTTGTTATTTTTTAGAAAAAATGTATTTTGCATGGAGAATTACGATATCTGATTTTCTCATTTTTTCATGATTTGGTATAAAATTGAGTTGAGCCAGATCTGGTATCCTACCACAAACTCAAAGGCATCTTATTGCCGAGTGAGTAACCATTCAGAAGAACATTTATTCATGCATGTGCAGCAAAGTCCTCTTTGATTTGTTAGCAATGTATATAAAGGCTGTACAGCCATGCAAGATTTTTGGCAGGACATTATATGATCCAGGTCTGTCAGCCCTTGTGCAATACAGGTTTGGCACCTTGTGACATTTTTGAAAGAGAAATTTCAGACAGGACAGGATTAAGAACTTGACAATGTAGTTCGTATTGATCCCAAATAATTTGGAAACTCTTTTGAATAGTTGAAACGACACTCAGAAGTTATTGTGGTTCTAAGAGGAGTAATTTAAAGTGAACTAAGGTGCCATTTCCCCCAGATAAAACCAAGATTTATCATCAATGTTAAATTTCTTGACATAATTTGTTTATTTTATCAAATGATCAATTCATAACAAAATTATCACCACATGATATAAAATACAAATACACATACACACAAAATTTATATATATATATATATAAAAATGAACATAAAGTATAACATTATAGGCTACAGTCTGTTTCATGCTATAAGCAATTTTCATTTTTGAAACTTTGCATATTTCATGTTGTAGATGTTTTGTCCTTTGTTGACATTATTTTTTTTTTATTAAACTATAATTTGATCTCTGATTTGATGTTTATCCCATAAATATAGCACACCATAAGACTATATTTCTTCATATATATATATATATATATATATATATATATATATATGGATAAATCATATATCCAGTGGTAATAATCTGTTTCATCAAATGGATCGAATATTTTTTTGTTTTAAGCATGAAACAGACTGTCACCACTGGGTATTGACCTCAATTTCCAATTTTATATTTACATATCCTCTATCTCTGATATTAAGCACTTTAGCCAACAAATATAGCATAAATTATAGCTATTTTTTTATCATATATATATTAATTTTATATATATATATATATATATATAAAATAAAATATAGTTTAGAGCATCTGAAAATATAAAAGTATTACTGAAGTCAACAACTAGAAAAATAGTCTGTTTCATGATCGATATCCAGACCATCTGCAACACATGGTCTGATGATTGCATTTACCATGAAATAAACTGTCACCACTGGGTGTGGATCTCAATGTCCATTTATATATATATATATATATGCACACACATAGTAAAACCTCAAATTAATGGTGCTGGAAACAATGCACTGCAGATTTAACTTTAAAATTTTTAAAATTTTATTTAAAGGTATATATAGTAACTTAAAAATAAAATACACATACATGTATACTGTATTTAAGTTTATTTACCTGGGTGTTTTTAGGCGACGTAAAAGTACTTAAAATTAATGGACAAATGATTTTAACAGATGACCCACCCCATTATTAACCAGTTAAATTGAAGTTCTTCTCTCTCTCTCTCTCTCTATATATATATATATATATATATAAAACCAAATTTGTAATTATAGGTAGGTATATACATATAAATATAAGTAGGTATTATACATATAAATACTCTATAGTGTAAGAAAAAACAATGCTTAATGTTAAGTAACAGAGCTATTTAATATATATGTTAAGAAATACACATAATATCTTACATTAATTGCACAACTCTGAGTTTCATGCTGCAGCAATTTTCAAGTGCTGAAATTATAATATTTAAAAATAAAAATAATGCAATT